CAAGCACATGCCCAGTATTGATACACAGGTGGTAGCCTTTGGTAGACGGACTGGATGGTAGATTGAGGACACTAGGGTTTTAAATTGCCACAGACTCCCGAGGATGTCTGTCAGATCCCCAAGTCCCTTACGCAGCTAAGCACCATTTTTCTTCATCTTGTGTTGTAGTCCTTAGTCTTTACTGCAGCCAGCTGTTAAAGGCCATGGAGTTTTAATGTGGTATATCAGCAAACAGTCAACATGCTGTTAACTCAAATATTCCAGGAAACACACACATACTGCAAGTGCTAAGCCTGCTCTAAAAATCTCCAAAAATCTCAGAGGTTAACAGAACAGCAGCAACAATGCATGCAAAGAACACCTAAGCTGAGCAACAAAGGATTTGTATATTTTGGATTTAAGTCTACATGCACAAAAATCTATGGAGATTTGCTAATGATTTCAGTGGGAACTGGAACAGGATTCCTGGCCCTCTCTGTACTGGTTGCTACCACCTATTTCCTTCTAAATACACCTACTTGGGGAAAATGGTGCTTCTGTTCCCCAGGAATTCCTAATTCTTTGGCATCTTCTTTGTCCCAAGTTGGGGCAAAATGTTACCAATTGCAAGATTTGCCACTGAGTGAAAAATCCAAAGTATTCCACTTTGGAAACATATTGAAATGCTTTGTCTCAGTATTGTCAAAACATTTATACTATTAAGCATTCTATAAAGTCAAAGATGCAATATTGCATTCTGTGAAAGTACGCTGAGTAGTCAAAACAAGAACGTCAGCATCAGATTGAAATGGGGAAGCCAGAATGAAGCACCTCTGAAATCTTACGTGTTTCCTTGGAATATATTTGATTTCAGTGAAGTTCTCAAGGTTAAAATTTCAATGAAACAGCGTTTTCTGGGAGAAGCCTATCTACGGAAAGTTTTTGACCTGTTTCACTGTTTTTATTATTTAATCAAATTCAGAGTGACTGATTGCATTTTGATAACTTTTACATCTTGCTTTTAGGTCTGCATTATTCAGCCAGGAAATTATGCACGTTCTACAAAAATTCAGCCACCAGTCAGTGCAGAAGAGATTTGGAATGAACTCAGCGAAGAGGAAAAGGAAGTTTACAATAAAGAATATGTTCAAGAGCGGGCAAACTTTTTCAACAACATTCTCAAGGAAGGGAGCACTAATGGCAATGAAGTTGTAGATGCTATGGTACATGCTTTAACGTCTCCTGCACCCAAGGCACGATATATGGTTGCAAAGCTAAAAGAAAAACTACTGGTGTTTGTATGTGCTTTGTTCCCTACTGTTGTGATGGATTCCGTTTTATCTTATGCACTGAGTAATGTAAAACTCGCATAGCTGACATTGGTACTGTTCAGTGACTCAGGCTGGGTCACTTTTTAAACTGTTAAAGTCAGGGCTTGACTTAATGGCCCCCAAAAAATCAGAATGACACCAGTTAACTCACCCAGACTTTGGAGGGTATCTTAGTCAGAACTGTGACTTTTTTGTAGTGAAACACATCTAGGACCTCATGTAAAACTAATAAATTTGTCTAGGTAACTGTATTTCTCCCAAGTGGAAAAAAAATAGGGCTGCTTTAGGTATTGCAGCTTTTTCTACTGCAGTACCAAGTTACTGTGTTAGAGATATGATAAAGACAAAATGGAGCACATCCTGTAGGGCAACTGCCCACCTGAATTCATTAGGGCAGAGATAAAATACCTTATTTTTAGGAATCTGAATAGTAATTTTTTAGGGATGAAGGAAAGAGGTTAACAGAAAAGTTAGGAATGAGCAATACTCATTGAATACTTTCAATGGAGTCAAACACCTGCAGAGTTAGGAAGTATCAAATGTTGCAGTGTTCTTACCAATGGAAATGGCTAACTACATTTCAGTACTTTTTCAGATGTTACACATAAATCTGTAACAAAGCCAATGTGTTATGGACTTCGAAAAAGAAGTAGCACGTTCCATGTACAAAGGAATATTCAATCCTAAATCTAATGTGTGGATTAATCAATGCATTAATCTAAAATGTAGTCAAAGAAACAAACACCAAGGTGACAGATAATCAGTGTCATGCAGGAACAACGTGTAGCTTAAAAAGCATATTAGGAGCTCTGTTTTTCCTGATATTATAGGGCTTAGGATCCGATGGGAAAAAATATCTATTAGCACAAATTGGAAAACTTTGGTAACATATGCCTATGTGAGTAATTGAGTGCACTGGCTTCATTAGTAGTCTCTTAGTAACTGTTGCGGAAAAGATTTCTGGTTTACACGTACACACAGTTTTAAATTTGGCTTGGTTGTGGCATAGCACAAAACCCAAGAACTCTGGGAGCAGGAGATCCCAGAATAGCTGGCAGTTCCACTGTGGAGACTCTTGTGGATACCAGGCAGAAGCATGAATCACTAGCTTCCCTGTGCCAGGCCTCCTGTATCAAATCAAAGGCTCTGGTATAAGTTGACCTAATTAATTTTTTGATCTGAATCAGAAGTTTTATCCTATCCTTGGGAAGTCTTTCCTAATGTATTTAACTACTGAGATTTGTACAATTTTCTTTTTTTTTTTAATGAAGTGTTTCAGTTTTGATGATGCAGTACTTTCCAATAAAATCTATGCGACTGAAAGAAGTTTCTGTTTATCCTGGTGGTTAATTTGACAGCCTGAGTCAGGAACATCGGTGAGATGTGTGAACAGACTGACTCTTCCACTTCCTCTCCTGATAGCACTTTGCAGTGGAACAACCTGTTTACTGTACCTTTTTTTAGCTTGTGGAACATTTCGGTTCCTTTCCCAAATGCTGGACCCATCCCTGTAGCTGGCGTAGATTAGAGGATAAGCGAGGCCTCCCTCCCATTCCACTGCCAGTCAACAGCAGGATTATCAGATGATTATCGTCTGCTCTCCTCATTTAACCACGAGTGAGCAAGGCCAAGCAAGGAAAGAGGAGCAAGGCTTATTCTAACTGAACCAATCGATTTCGTGTATAGGAACTCCCCTGACTTGACCTTAGGGATTTCAGCAGTCCTTACATTGCTTTGGAAGAGTTGGTTTCATGCTCTTAAACGTTCTCTGTGCAGATTGCCCTTCTGTGCAGTAAGTAGCGCCTAACTCAACAAGCAGCTTTGAAATCCAAACGTCTCTCTATCAGGCTCAGGCTACATGTGATCATTCCAATCTCCACCTCAGGGATAATAGTCCTTTCCATATATGTTTCTCCTGCCATCTGCATTTCTAAAAGCTGCAGCAACACTCAGTGTTGCTGAGAGCTAGCTCCTTCAGAAGAGCCGCCTTCCAGATACAGGCGACATGAAATATTTTCAACTGAAAATGTCTCCTTTATTTCTGCCTTCCGTGGTTAAGCATGTGATCAATATTTCATTAGCCTCATGTAACATTAGATGAGCAACACTCCAGAACATTTATTGCTCTTGATTAGTCTTGAAAACTAAGAGCTTGCAGTGCTTATTAGCACTCATAGGGTTACAGTAGCAGGCAGAATGAGAGCAGATTGGACAAACGAAGGCCGTTTTTATTGTCATTGTTATCTAGCCTGTCAGTGTGGAAGCTAACTGCTAAATAGCTACAAGAAGATTATCTTTCCTCTTCCCTCTCCCATTTAATACTGTGATCGACAGATAAAGAACTGATCCGAAGAGTCAGAGCTTCAATTATTAACAGGCCTGATGCGTTCCCACTGAAAACCACACAGAATGCTTCCACTTTGTCATGTGGGCTGCAAGGCATACAAGCAAACGTAGGCAAGCAAACATGGACACCTAAGAGAAAGCAGAGGGAATGACTGTCCCTGAGCTTAAAAGAAGAGAGACCCTCGCAAGAAATGGTGATGAAAGGGGTGGTGCACTCCCTCCTCCACAGATCTTGAAGGGTATGGAAGTTGCAGGATTAGTAACAGGTACTTTTTTAGGACAAATGTTGTTAAGCATGCTAAGTTATGACAAACTCCCTGAGGTCCCCCTCAGCTGTCTTCTCATTTGCTGAACTCCTGCCCTATTTATCACTGGAAAATTCATCCAACTCTAGTGTTCCCAACTCTCATCCTGGGCCATGCAGTATCTAGGGAGGCATCCTTGGGGTGGGTGCTAGGAAGTTAGCAACCGCTGAACTGCCCCACAGTCCTTTGCATATCTGCCATGCTGTTGTGTAAGGGATGCCTCTCTCTCCCTTACCCAGTAACCCAGCAATCAGCTTTACCTCCAGTCAAGTTAAAGTACAGACACTTGCAAGAAGTCTGTATTTTAAAATATCCCAAATAAGCAACAGTTAAGAGTGTTTTATGAAAGACTTAGGTGGTGAAAGGAAAAAAATATCAACAGTACAATTAAATCTGAGGCACTCCCTCTCAATATTCAGCTAACCTGCTATATAGATGCTTTCCTGCACCCACTTAAGCAGGGATTGTACTTTTCTATATAACATTAATCTCAGATTGCAACCAAGAGTGAACTTCTTGGTAGGTATTTTAGCTTAGTCTTCTTTTATAAGCCCTCCTGAAAGTTTGGAGAAATCTAATCTTTCCCTTGAAAACAACCACAAAAGAGACACAGCTCTCCTTACAAGTCTCTTTGCTATGGACACAGTATCAGGGACCTAAGATCGTACTTCAACAGCCATGATGCCACTATGGGTTACAGAGCACTCTACTAGCAGTGTGGTCATGCACAGGTATGCACGTGGTTCTTACAGAGCTGCTAGGAGGTACATTCCAGCCATTGCAGGGTCTTCTTAGTAAGCACTTACGTCAGTTATTTCATGGACTTGCTCTTCTGTGCAAGGCCTTATTCCTAAGCACCCATATTAATCACCAGAAAGAATGAGCAGGGCTCAGGGTCTTTTTTGTTTTGCTTTTGACAGTAAGTAATTACAAAAATAGAGAACAAAGAAGAATTAAAAGAAGTTTAGTTAAATCAATAGCTTAGTCAGTTGTGCACCCATCCGAGGGATATTAATGCCTTCATACAGTGTCATCAAAAAATAAACACAGGGGAGCCCAGGAAATACAAACATAGCACAAGGCGTAGCAGGGTATTATCTATTGGCACAGTTTTGAGGTGGTTGTGCTGCTGCATAAGGCTAAGTTCAACTCCAGAAGTTCATCGTCCCTTCCAGGACAAGATGTTTCTTCTAAACTAAGAGGGAGCAGTTTGAGAAATGCCCTCATGGCAATTCCCCAGCATGCGCTGCCAGCTGGCTACAGAAGGCAGGAGAGCAATACCTCCATGCTCATGGGCAGCGCTCCCTCGGGCATCAGCGGCAGTTCTGCGTACACCCTCTGAGCAGCTTTGGAAGTGCTTCATCCCCAGCTGTAGTGTTATGGATAGGTAGGTTAGAGTTTTATTGAAACTTAGCAATACGAATACTGTATTTGCTGCCCGGGTGTGATCTCAAGCTTCCGTGTGACTCACTGTCACAGTCCAAATGACTTTCACAATTAGCCAAATGTGTATGCTTGTATCATTCTTCCATGCTGGCAAAACTGAATGAACAGAGATTTTGGTGTAGTGCACCATACAGCGGCATTTTTGCAGTAGCATCAGAATCCAAAGAGATGAGCAATACTAATAATTACTTGGGCAGTAAAAAGCTTAAGTAAAAAGACACAATGCAATCCCCAAGCACACTTTCCAGCTGAACTCATGCTACCGTCTAGTCCAGCTCCCCCTGAGGTCAACAGGACTCTCAAGTGACAATAAGCACATAAGGTACCTAAGAGTACGCAGGCTCCTTCCAGAGGTGGGATGTGGGGCTTTTTTAGCATCCTTGCGCTTTTACATCAATAGATAAGGCAGCACAATACAAATACAGCAAGTTATACTGAGAACGATAGCTGTATTTTTCACTTTTTCCCATACAGGAACTGTCTAGTGCTGTCAGTCTGGCACCTTATGCTAGCACCAAACAAAACACTTAACGGTATTTATATTTGAAACACTCCGAAGCAGCTGTTAAGTAGTGAAATCTTTTCATGGGTAATTAGATCAGCCTGGTGCCATAAGATGAGCATATCGGTAATGGAGGCTTTGCCCAGCATAATAAGATGAGGCATACATTGCAGAACCAATAAGAGTCTGTAAAACAAGGGGGGAAACAAATATCCTCCTTATTAATTAATGTTCTGTTGAATGGTCCTGGTTAGAAAATGCTTTACTCCTGATCATCTTATTAAGCTCAGATATGGTGGGTAAAACATAGTTATCTGCTATGGGCTCCATGAACTGTATTCATCCACGTAACCATGAAACCAGTGGAGCACCTCTCGGTTTGTCCTAGGAGCAGACATTACTGCTTCCTGGCTGGGGGCAGTAGAGATAGCCTTGTGTGGGAAGGGAGGCTACGTGCTTAGACCATCCAGGAAAAAGCTGTCTCCGGGCCATCTGAATTTATACCATGAATTAGACAAACTCAGGACAGCACTACCCCTCAGATTAAGACCCAGGCAGCACACAGACAGCTTTGTTTGCACCTGTGAGCAGTTGTGTCTTAATTTATCTTGTGACATTTTTTCCAGGGGCTGTACTCTTCAGTTCTGGGAGCGGTAATCCCCAGCTACAAGGCTCTATGATATATTCAAGGTGCTGGGTGGGCAGTTTGCACCTGTTTTCCTTAGTGCAGTCTTTTTTTTTGTTTGTTTGTTTTTAATTAAACACACCCCTCCCCTTTGTATTCATTGGTACTCCTCCAAAACTGAACTGTCTGCCAAAAAGAGCCCAACAGCTTGAAGCTACAGGTCTTTGAGTCATTTTCTCGGGTGAGTTTATTTATTTCTCAAGGCAGGGAATACTGTGATTTTTTTCCTATGGGATTTTGATCTTCTTTTAGAGCTGTTGCAGTACCCTAATAGCAGAGCAGCAGCTGGCAAGGCAGAGACCCTCTGCTCCTGAGGCCGCAATGCTCTGAAATATCCAGTATGATGTTCTGCTGGTGAAAAAGAAAGGATGTTTTCTGTCTGGAGTCCTCATTATCACCCTCAAAAAGCTCACAGAAAGAAAAGCAGGGTGAGAAAATAAATCAAGTGTAAAAATCTAAGCATCCCTCTCAAAGACAAACACACTCATACACACATCAGCACTTGGGATGAAACACCAGGTCCCCACACTTCCTACAGTCTGATCGCAGAGTTGCCATAATCTAGAGAGAAGTGATGCAGGCGCTTCTGGCAGCTTCTTCAGTTATTTTAGCATTGGGCCAAAATCTCAAAATACGTATGCCAGCTTTTCTAATGTGCATTTAACTTGTGCTAATCTACAAAGTGAAGAGAAGGAGCATTCACCTGCGTCTTAGGCTGAGCCACTTGTGCCTCCTTGCCTGTGCCAACGGCAGAACCAAAAAGTGAATTATTATTATAAATTAAGCAAGAAAACATCTACTGCTGTGCAACGTTAGGTGTGACGAGGAGAAGGAGAAGGGCATGGACCCTATATTTTCCAGAGAGCAAAGTGACCATCCAAGGCAACATGGTGCGAGACTAATAATCCAGCCAACTCACCTAAGAAAGTGCTAGCATGAAACGCCTGCTGTACAAATGGTATTCCGTCTAGGAAAATTCATGGAATGTTTCATGTTGGAACGATGTTATCTGTTGTTGTGACTCACCATA